GTATTGTTAATAATGAATTTGAGTTGAGGGTACTTGTTAGTCCCAATTGATTCTTGATGAGGTTACTTTAGGACAACTGAAATTTTCCTTTCTTTTATCTTAAGGAGGTGGGAGTTACTTTGTTTGCTTGAGGACAAACAAAAGCTTAAGTTTGAGGGAGTTGATAACTAGGGATTCTAATCTATTTTATGCTCCTTTTTGCTTAAGTTTTGAATTAAAAGTGTATACAAGTATTCCCGAAAGTTAGCTTATTGTTCTTGTTTGTAGTGTTTGGTCAAAAAGAGACAAGAAAGTCAAAACCAGCTCATAAAGGAGTGAAACCTGCACAAGTTCAAAGCTAAGTCACAAGGGGCGCTGACAGCGGAAAAATAGGCGCGGACGGGGAGGGTCTACCACTGAGGCGGTATTGTTTAAGCTCTCAACAGTGGTAAAGTTCAGAGAGCTGTATTTTGGGCCTAACAAGTTACCGCTCCCCGAGGTGAAATTGCATAGCAGCGGTAGTGTTTTTGAATTAAAAGTGTATACAAGTATTCCCGAAAGTTAGCTTATTATTCTTGTTTGTAGTGTTTGGTCAAAAAGAGACAAGAAAGTCAAAACCAGCTCATAAAGGAGTGAAACCTGCACAAGTTAAAAGCTAAGTCACAAGGGGCGCTGACAGCGGAAAAATAGGCGCGGACGCGGAGGGTCTACCACTGAGGCGGTATTGTTTAAGCTCTCAACAGTGGTAAAGTTCAGAGAGCTGTATTTTGGGCCTAACAAGTTACCGCTCCCCGAGGTGAAATTGCATAGCAGCGGTAGTGTTTGCATGGCCGTGGTGAAGTTACCGTCCTCAGCGGAAGCCAGATTCAGAGAACCAAAAATGGAGCTAAAAATTGAAGACCGTGGTCCGCGCTCGCTTTTGCGCGGCGACGGTAGTTATAGCGCTGCAACAGTCCATTTTCCACTGTTAGCAGAACCTCCGTAAGGGCATTTTGTCCAGAAAATTTAGCTGTGTATCAATAGTCCCTTTTCAAAATTTTAGGTCATCTGTTGTTTAGAGGAGCATGTGAACAACTATTTTTAGCCTTTTTGAGTAATTTTAGAGCTTGGTTAACCATTAATCTTACATTCTTCTCTTGTAATTACTTTTTATAGGTTGTATTTCATCTAAATCTTTGATTTCTTCTTTGATTATGAGTAGCTAAATCCATTAGCTAGGGTTGTGGCTCAACCCTAGTATGGGTATTTAATGAGTCTTCAATTTTAGGGCTTAAATATTTATGGATGAATAATATTTGGCTTGATTTATGCTTTAAATGTTAAATTGGTGGTTGCAAACACTGATCTGTGCCTTTTTGACTTAGGCTCTTCTTGAGAAAGAGAGACTAAGTCTAGGAAATTCAGGCCAACAAGGAATTGGGGTGCATTCAAGAGATTGATAACCCCAATTAAAGGGTTAAATCTAGAGATAGTAATATCTGACTTGAGCCAATTTTACTTGCATTGTTTGAACACCCAATTGGGCTTGAGAAAGCCAATTAGGGCAAAGTCACTCAAACTATCGAGAGGTATAGAGTGAGTAGTTATGTGCAATGGCTATATCATGATCCCAATTATAACAAATTCGCCCTAAGTTTTAGATCCTGTTAGATATCCACCTAGGTGTAAGTCACTTCCCTAGTGCCTTTAGACCAATTAAGAAATCCTTACAAAAATATTATACTTAGCTTATTTTTCCTGCTTCATTAGGATTAGAGTAGAATAGTAAACAAACAAAGAATGATTGAAAGTGCAATTAAGAACATCGCACATTGCTAGATTAGATAGGAACCCAATTCCATATATATCTTAGCTCTCTGTGGATTCGATCCCGACCTTTTGGCTAAAAGGTGCATCGACCGCTCTTGCCACTTTATAATGGTATAGGGTTGGAACCGATCGGCTATATATCGCCCTCTTCCTCCTCTTCCTCGTGATCTCAAGGTCCATGACCGGGAGCCTATGAAGGGTCAAGAGGTTCTCACTCGGGATGACCTTGCAATCCATGCAAAGACCTCTATCAGGCTTCCTACAGAATAAATAATCAATTTGAGTCTCGGCCACCAAACTTCGGAAGGTGACCAAGTGCTCCCTCTTCTTTGGGAAACTCGAGTTTGCTATCACCAAATCAAATACTCTAGAAAAGTCCAGTAGAGATGTTCCTCCTCAGTTTCTATCTCCAAAATCAAAGCCACCATGCACATCATCATACCTCTCCCCCAGACGTCACTCTAATGTGGCCGTTAAAATCTCCTCATATGAAAAGCTTCTCGGTATGCGGGATACCACATACCCTCTCATCCAAATCTTCCGTGAAACGCCTCTTGACTTCCTCATCCAAGCCTACTTGGGGTGTGTACTCACTGATAACGTTCAAAGTTAAACCTCCAATAACTAGCTTAATAGTCATCAACCTGTTATTCACCCTCCTAACTTCCACCACTAGTTCATGTCGCCCCCCCCTTTTTCTCGCGAAATCGGGTTATGACATTTGGGAGGACAACTCATTCCCTTTTGAGAATTTGGGTTTGCATTTGAAAAGTCGCCACTTAATGATTAAGGTGCATTAGGACACCAAGAAGGTTGGTAGGTGGTGAGACCATCATAGATTCAGGCCAGGAGATGGCCGGAGAAGATGGATGAGACTCATCGGAGAGAATGGGGATGTGGAAGGTTCTAGAGAGAACCAGAGATAGAGAGATAGAGAGATAGTCGGTTGAGTAAGGGAAATGAGAGGGGTTTAGGGGGGGGGGGTCGTTTGGTTTAATTTAGGAAGGGTGAATGGTGGCCGTTGATCATTTTGATCAACGATCTGGATTAAATGGGGATCCGGGCGGGTTATTCAAATGGGTTGTAGGTCGGGTAGATTTAGGATTTGGGTTGGGTAATTGGGTTTGAGATTGGGTTTAATTAGGGGTTCAAATCTGGCCAAAATTAAAATACAAATGGGGCTATCATTTAAATAACCATTTTCCCTTATTTATTTTATAAAAATAGTAAAATGATTTTCAGAAATAAATTAAAAGCACTAAAATGATTAATAATACATAATTATCCAACTAAAAATACTGAAGTTAATTTTATAAATATATTCACCATTAAATCTTTAAAAAGGCTAATATCGCAATTACGTGCAATTTAGCTTTAAAAATACAAAATAAATTTATAAAAAATATGCAAAAATTATTTTAGCTACATTTAATGCAAGTATGAGAATCCAATAGATGAATTACCAAAATGATAATTTTGAAAATAATTATTGGGGTTTTCTTGCTAAAACAAGGCAATAAATTGATTTAAAAATCCCTAAAATTAAGAGAAAAATATTAAAACCTTGGGACATACTTATATATGTATATTCATGCTATTTTGAAAGTATTTTGCATATTAAAAATATACAGGACAAAAATTGGGTATCATCAGTTGCCCCTTGTCGGGTAAAGATATGATGGCCAATTTTGACCGAACGAAAGGGTTCGAGGAGACTTAGGCCGTACTCTAGTTTTTGAGTTGCCTATATATCCCTGGTTTTACAGAAATCAAGCCATATGTAGTTCAGTATCCATCGGCGGAGTAGGCTTGATGGAGATTTTCAAGAACAGACGCAATATTCAAGTTGGAGTGGATGGCTGAAACCTGATAGGGATGCGGGAACTCGAGCGGGATCGCTCCTGATGAGATGACCGTTGCTCGCCAGTTTACCTACAAATAAACAATACAAGCATATATTGTGCATAAAATTAAACATGATGCAAATTCCCGTCAGATCATGAATATTTGTCCTCGGACGGTTAGGATGACGTCCTCAGACCATGGTGTCCTGGACCATGGAGTGTATAATAAAGGATTCGCAGGCTATGAAATGATGCTCTCGGGCTATGAGAATGATGCCTACGAACCATGATGCCTTTGAATAATTATATGCAAGAGATTAAAAAGGAAAGGGGGG